TCACGCTCTGGAAAAATATTTTGTACGGGAGCGGATTGCAACGCCCACTTGTGTGTTTATTGACCAATTAAAAGCTGATATTTCCTGAAAATCTGTATGAAGCTGGGTAAGCTCTTGATCCACTTTTTGCACAGATTTGTTCAAAATTCAAGATTGACAAGAAAGTAGTATCGAGATGCTAAATTAGTAAATAGCTTAAAACACAAACACACACACACACACACACGTCTGTCATAGAACAATGTCTCACAAGCTTATTTCGAAGACAATGTAGAAAATTCGACACTCAGCATATCTCTCATTGTGATTGTTTTGTACCAGACTAGGAAGTTGAAGATATACAGGTTGCTCCAAAAGTCGCATTACCATTGATAACATTGTAAATTTTATATTTATTTATCAAATGGAATCATGTTTCTGTATGGGACAATATATTATTAAAAAATTTATTGGTCGAATTATGGAAGATGATGTCATGCAAATTTTCCCTGGTTGCTATTTCACGAGTGTATGTTTTCTGATAATTGTTGCATGACTTTTGGAACATCCTGTATGATGCAGATCGTAGAGCAGACAATTACCGGAAATGTAAGTTCAGATTTGATTATTAGAAGCAACCCCCACCCCCACCCCCCAAAAAAACAACGTGAGAATATGTAAAATAACTCTCGACTATTTACAGTCGAAACCATCTAAAATAATTCATTACTTAAAACAATTGCTAGGTCTGCTGTTAGTAAAGTTGATCGTGCTAGACAATTTTTCTCGTCAGAATTCATCTGGCATCATTATAAATCTACTATTCGTTCGTACATTGAATATTGCTGTCACATCTGGTCGGGTGCTTCTGCTATGTACCAAGAGCTGCTCGAACCAAACAGACGTGCCGTCGCGTCCCTCAGTCTTTTCTACAAATTCTTTCACGGTAACTGCTCCGACGAGCTACTTTCTCTCGTTCCCAAATAGCATGAATTTAATCGTGCTACTAGGTTGGCATCTCAGTCCCACCCTTTCACTGTCGAAACGGTTAAATGTTGCCGTCTCTTCTACTCCAACAGCTTCATGTCTCGCACTTCCCATTTGTGGAACTCCCTTCCTCTTACTTGCCTTCCTGATAGCTATAATCTCCAACTGTTCAAATGCAATGTCAATCGATATCTTCTGATACCTTGATCTAATTCGCTGTCCTTCTCTTCACACTTTCCTCTATCAGGTCTCTTTACTCTTGCTTCCCACTCTCTATGACTCCTTGCGTGCTAATGGCACCCCCGCCTTGCTTGGGATGAAATGCTTAATAAATAAATAAATAAATTGCTTTGTTTACGTTTGCGAAGGAAACTTGAGGCGAGATTATCAAACATTTTATGACAAGTGTTTTACACACACGCACACAGTGACACACACAGACACACACACACATACACGCACACATATATATGATAGAAATATAGTTTTATGGTATGCTATATTAATGCTCAATATGAGTGATAGAGCGTATGTACATATAAATGTGGACAATGAGGTCAACACTGAATGACGACAATCTGTTTCATGCTTGAATGCAATTTTTATGCTGCTAGAGGTTGACCTCAGTGTCTACTTTTATATGTACATACGCTCTATGACTCATATTGAGCATCAGTGGAGTGTAATGTTATTGACTAATGGGAAGTAGTATGCACTCAACTGCTCATGGGTAATAGCTTTAGCTATTTATAGTTTTGTGACATCCTATGTAAATGAGTACCCTCATCTCTCTGTACCGAAGAGATTTTACCTCCTTATTCTCCCTGGAAGCTTTTGTCGCTCAATATCTTCTTCCCTGTTCCTAAAAGATTGTCTATATATGGGAGATCTTGATCTTTTTCTTTTTTCATAGGAGTGTTCCTCCAACGATTGTTCATCGTCAGAGTGTATAATACACTCGATTTCACTGTCGAGTTCGTCTTACCTTGACGTGACACTTTCGTCTTCATTACTTTTGTTTTCATTACTTTCAGGCTCACTGTATATTTCTTCATCACTATAATGTTGCAAATTGAAGTATCTGATTTTTCTTTTTAGGCTTTAAATTTTCTTTTATCACCAACACTATTTTATCGCTCAGCCTAGGGTAGGGTTTGTCCAGACTAAATGGGAGTGGGGTGTATTATTTTCTTGTCGTATTTCAGACCCAGTCAAATTGTGTGCATATGCATGTGTGTACATTGAATGTTACAAGCAGATTAAGACGCTCACACAGAAAAGACACACGGACAGACATGACATGCGCTCATGTCAGTACGCAGACAGTGCGTGACGGACAGAGAAATCAGCTCTTCTTTCATACTATATGTTAGGTATCCACACACACACACACACACACACACACACACACACACACACACACACACACACATATATATATATATTAGTTACCTCCATATATATATATATATATATATATATATATTAGACACCTCCACAAAAATCAGAAAAGACGATACCTAGAAGAAAAAAAAAGGGATTTAAAAAGAATTTTAAAAATGAAAAATCTTTCTTGAAGCATTTATTTTAGTTTTAATTTCAATCTAACAGATTAAATTTAATATTACCAATAAACAAAACACTTTTTTTAATATTTCAAATAAATTGACTGGAAGGAGTTTTCGTTTTGAAATCGTTAAAATAGCTGATTTTAGAGCCATTTTTAACCATTCGTCACCACGATGTAATTCTCTTTATTAACAAATCTTTCTAAAATAAAATACACTTTTCTGAAACATTATTTGAGGAATATTAGCTAATTTAAAGCTTAATTAATCTGATTTGAAACAAATATTACTTACTTTAAGTTTAAAATATCGCAGAAATGTATTTTTAATACGGCGGTAGCTGTTTATTGGCCGACAGACAAAAGTTTATCTAATTTGTTTTCTGCGGTGGACATATCTGTAAAAATTTTACTTGAGAAATATAAAGTGAGCGCCTTTTTTTTATATATAATTTGTAACTACCCAACAAATAAAAATTTAGGAAAATATTCTACATAATCTAAAGTTCAATTGAATTTTATGTACTTTGGCCTTAAATTTACTATAGTTACCGCTCTTATTTTATGATAACGTCGTGTATGGACGTCCGTATTTACAAAAATCGACAGTTTTATACATATACAAAAAAATTCAAAATACTTTTTAAAATATTCGGGTCACTAAATTGTAATAAGCTTTTCCATTTATGATTAGTACATATAGTTTTTACTTAATGATAACAATATCACCTAACCGGGACAAATTAAGACAGAATTTTAAAAGATTTAAAGCTTTATAAACTATTCTAATTAAAATTTAAAAAAAAAAAAGTTCTTGCAAAAAGTCATTATTCTTTGAAAAAAATGTTTTCAGACAATAGTGTCCATAATATATTTTACAGTGGAACCTCAGTTCACGAATTTAATTTGTTACTGATGGCTGTTCGTAACCCGAAATGTTCGTAAACCGAAACTATTTTTCCAATAGGAATCAATGTAGAGAAAAAGTCACAGTACAATAAAATGGGAAAAGAAAAGCACGGCACAACACACAAATGTATACAACACGGCGGTCGACTCAGAAATGATTCCGTTCGGGTTAACTCGTTTCGACAATGTTGTTCGAGAACCGAAATTTTGTTCGGTAACCGAGGCATTTTCATCTCGAATTTTCTGTTCGAAAACCGATTTGTTCGAGGTTGCTCTGTATTCATAAAAGCATTTTAAAGCTTTTCTAATTAAATAATGTCTTAGTTTTTATTACATTTTTTTTATTTTACAATTCAGAGCAGATTTTCGATTACAGAGAGTCCTGTTTTTAAAAAAGGAAATTCATGATTTAAATTCTTCTAGGAGTCCTGCTTTTAGCTTTTAGTTTTACTTTTAACAGATATTAAACGAATCGAAATGTAATTTCTCGAAATTTAATAAAATTGACGTGTTTTTCACTGTAAAAAAGACACTAAAATTTCCTATACTAATCTTTGCAATCCCCTCCCCACCCCCGCTGACGCAAAAAAAAAAAAAAAAAAAAATTTACGAAAATCTTGAACGTTCAAAATAGGATGAAAAAATATAATTTAATTATCAAAATATCCTTTGGTCATTCCTAACATAAAAATTTTAAGTTTGATGATAAAATTTTCTTTTTATTAAGTTTGAGCCATTTTTTTCACTATGCTATTTTTTTAGCGAATCTGTGGCACGACCTAGATTAGCTTTCCAAGAATGTCCTTATTTTCTCTGTATTTCACAGTTACAATTCTTATATGACACGAAAAATATAAATAATTTGCCATAAAACGCTTTTAAATGGGTTAGTAGTGTGAACAGATGAGAACATAAGTGTAAGCTGAAATTTGAGCTGATATTCATTTCATTTTAATTTTAGTGGCATCGCTACCGTTTGTTTATTACAGCAGCGAGTAAAACAGCGTGAATCAGAAGTAAAGAAACGTCAGGCGAAATTCAATTTTAGGTGGTGTTGTCAGAAATTTACAAGTGCGATGGTTTTTACTATTTGTTAAAGTTCTTTGTAATTTTGTTGTGCCAGTCTATAATATCTTAGTTTTTTAGTATCTTATCTTTATCCCGAGTGTAGCCTAATATTGTTTTCAATTTTCTTAATAAAAAATAATACGAATTAAAATCAAGACGAAATAAAATTTATTGATTTTTTTTTTATGCCAATTTTGCACTCTCTTTGTTATTAGTGAAGTTTTTTTTTGACTGGATTTAAAATCTTTTGCTCCTTTTTTTTTCCTTTTTTTTTTTTTTTATCAAAAACAATTTTCCGTGATACGAAAATAAAATGGGGTATTCTTTTTCGTTCTTCTGTTTGATGGATTTTTTAAAACTCGTTTCTTTTCTCACAAATCGTTTATTTGCCGCATTCTATCCAAAGAAGACATTTTGAATTTTGGGGGATAGAGGGAAATTGTCGCCCAAAATGTATTACAGAAAAAAACGTAAAAAAAGCCATGTTTTATTAATCAATATCCGGAGGAACAACTGAGAGATATTGTCGATTGATTTTTGCCGATCCTGGTTTGCTGGGAAAAGGCGAAGAAGTTTCGGTTTTATGTTGCTTGATTTGAGTATGCTGAAAAGAAAAAAAAAAAAAAAAAGTAAAAATTAATAATCAATGTGGCTTTGAAATTTTAATTTCAGATACTTACTTGGATTAAAAATTGAGTTCAGAGGTTCGCGAGCACACACACACACGTGCGCACGCGCGCGCACGCGGCTTGCGACCATAACACGTTGAAACATTGGTTCTTGTACAATCACCGAAGTTAAGCAATGTCGAGCTTGGTGTCTTGATGGCTGACCACTTGGAAATATCAAATGCTGTAAGCTTGGATGTGCGGGTGTTGTAATGGATAACGGCTCGCAATTGGAGACCGGAGAACCGAGTTCCGATTACAGCCGTGTGCTTGGGAATGATACGAATCCAGTTCTTCTTTCCCCAAACTATGGGCTAATTAGTAGGACTTGTAAATCATTATTATCTTCAAAAAATTCTTACAATCGAAAAATATTTTCTGGCTTTAAATAACCTGCAAAAGGTTGATGAGCGGTAAAAAAAAAAAAAACAAATCAATCACACACACACTAAATAGCAAGCTTATCTCGTAGACAGTTCGTTGGTGTGCTAATTTCGATACTCATTGGCTATCTCATTACACTGACCTCGTGTCAGTCTAAAATCAGCTTTGGTCGTGGATGAGGAATGAGCAGAATGTAACTGTTTGTAAGTTTAGATGAAGATGTTTTGTTGATTCAGATCAAATGGATATGTTGCTTTCTATGAACAAATCATATTTAAAGAAAAATTTAATGTGCGGGTAGTCTAACGGTTATCGGCAAGGAAAGTGGAAACTGCAATTCGAGTTCAATTTCCGGGCTGGTCTGTTGCATTCGCTTTGCAGTAAAGCCCTTAGGAAAGGCATGAATCCAATCCAACTATGGAGGCTATTGACAGCCAGTCTAAGAAGAAAACAACTCTAAATACAAAACCATTGAAAAGTCAACAGGAAACTACTCTACTAGTTTTCCCAAGAAGTCATAGCAATTCACGGTTAATAAAGAAAAGGAACGTGTGGATAGCCATGATCACCTCGGTTCTGAAAGAAAGTGACATCAAAAATAATTTAAGTGCAAATCGCATGTGCATTGTAGGCTTAAGTCTTTTACAGAAAAGAAAGGATATATGTTTAACCTCCTTCGTCGGTAACCTGACGTTGTATCTGCACATGTGCGTACCGCAAGCAAAGAGGACCTTATTAAACATGATTTATTTTTGAATGAGCAAAAATAATGTGACACAAAGTCTAAGAATAGAGGAAAGAGAAATCTGAACAACACTGTCCTGTCATTTAACCTCGCTAACCTTAGAGTCCCTTTCAAACAGACGAAACATCACAAACCTCTAGATGCTCTATCGCTATTTCCAGCGAAAGTGCTCAGACGAACTACATTCCTTAGTTCCTTACCAGTTCTAACCTTCACGGCTAAGACTCGCCCTGCCGTGCCCATTGTAGCGAACCACCCTCATTCCCTTCGTATCCCATTGGTGAGTCGTAAGCTCTCCCCCCACCAATCAGCTTTTTCCCACGAAAATCGACTCCTAAGTGGATGCTTCCCCGATCACTATTATCTTAACCTGTTCATGTCTAGAGTCAATCATAATCTTTCCCACATAAACTGTGCCTCGTACTCTGTAACCCTCTACCTCGAGTGGTCCCCGGGCATTATACAGGGCAAACATCATTGTAAAAAATCAAAATCATTGACCCATCGCTGGAAGATTTTTTTTTATCTATCTCACATTCGTACTACAATCACCATTATGCCACAGTTATTCTATGAAGTTATAACTAATCCCATATTTACGATTATTTTGTGCAGGAATAATAATAACAGTTATATACAATTAGAACACTCCTAATGATTATTTACAATGAAAAAATATAATTTACAATAGACAAAAGAAAACTAATGTTAGTATTTGAACCCTCATAATCTAAATATGACAGAAATAAGTTAACTAGCCCCCCAAAAAAAAAACAAACAAACAAAAAAAAAAAACAGTGCGAGACTATAAAAGGAAGGAACATAAACTCTTTTTCTCTCTTTATGCTCAGGTATGTTGTAGCGACAGCAACTGTACTTGTCTCTGCCAGGGAAAGAGTTATTTCCCCAGATGAACCGATTACTTAATTTCAAATAAACCACGTGACGCATCACGCACACATATTATACTAATCTCATAAATGTTTTTCTTCTGTTTTTGAGCGATCTGTGTATATGCAAAAATGTAATTTTTCTTTTTCACTTTTTTTTTGTGAACCATTAAAATCCACGCGAGAGTTGAGTTCATTTATTTTGAAAGACAGTAACCTTGTCCGTTACAAAGTGTTAACTGCATTTACTACAAACCAAAACAAACGTTCAAGTGGGCCGACGTAGAAGAATGAAATATTATGTTTTAGGAGATGAAAAGTAAGTTTGAAGGAGAGAGACTAATCTCTGATACAACACCGGAAGTCGAGGGAGTGTGTGTGTGTGTGTGTGTGTGTGTGTGTGTGTGTGTGAGAGAGAGAGATAGGGTTGGAAAGGACAGTTTAATCTCTGATACAACACCGGAAGTCGAGAGAGAGAGAGAGAGAGAGAGAGAGTGTGTGTGTGTGTGTGTGTGTGTGTGAGAGAGAGAGAGAGAGAGATTGGAAAAGAGAGACTAATCTCTGATACAACACCGGAAGTCGAGGGAGGAAAAGAGAGAGAGAGTGTGTGTGTGTGTGTGTGGGTGTGAGAGAGAGAGATGGAGTTGGAAAGGAGAGTCTAATCTCTGATATAACACTAAAATCCTGGGAGAAAGAGAGAGCGTGTGTGTATGTGAAAGAGAGAGAGAGAGGGGTGGGGAGAGAGGGTTGGAAAGGAAAGGTTTACTTTCGACTTTTCATCCTTCCACTCATAAGAAGTTCGCCGACATGAAGGAAAACAACTAAAAAACAAAGTCAGTTTCTCATCTCCTCTCACCACTCTGTTTTATATTGAATCAGGATAATCCTTGGCAACTTCGAAGCAAGAAAATCTTCGGCCACTTGGAAGCAGGATAATCCTCGGCAACTTAGAAGTAGGACAATCCTCGGCCACTTGGAAGTTAGACAATTCTCGGCCACTTGGAAAGAGGATAATCTGGAAGCAGGACAACCTCGATCACTGAGAAGCATGACAATTCTCAGCCACTTTGAAGCAGGCTAATACTCAGTAAACTGGAAGCATGAAAATCCCCGGCCTCTTGAAAACAGGATAATCCCCGTTCACTTGGAAGCAGGTCAATCCTCGCCCACTTGGAATCAGGATAATCCTCAGACACTTGGAAGCAGGTTAATCCTCGTCTACTTAGAAGCAGGATAATCCTCGACCACTTGGTGGCAGGACAATCCTCGGCCATTTGGAAGTAAGACAATCCTCGGCCACTTGGAATGTGGATAATCCTCAGCCACTTCGAAGCAGGACAATCATCTGTCACTAAAACAGGATAATTCTCGGTCACTTGGAAGCGGGATAATCCTCGGCTATTTGGAAGCAGGACAATACTCGGTCACTTGGAAGCAGGGCAATCCTTGACCATTTGGAAGGAAAATAATCCGAGGCCACTTGGAATCAGAATAATCCTCCGCCACTTCGTCGCTGGACAATCCCCGTCCTCTTCGAATCAGGGTAATCCTCGTTCACTTGGCAGCAGGAAAATCTTCGGCTACTTGGAAGCAGGATAATCCTCGGCCACTTGAAAGCAGGATAATCCTCGGCCACTTTGAAGCAGGATAATCCTCGGCCACTTTGAAGCAGAACAGTCCTCGGCCACATTAAGAGAGTGTGCTCTAAGAAACTTTATTGCGTGGATGTGGTGACAGTTTGACTATAAAGACGAGGCTTTTTATAAGTGTTATATGACACCCACCCTACCGCCAACATTAAAAACAAGAGAGTGGCCGGTAAACAACTGAGAAGGATTCGACAGAACCGAAACTGCTACAAAAACTGATGTTGAAATTCACCAGCAGACAAGAAAACAGAGCAATAAAACTGTAACGAAAAACAGGAAATGAACATGTGAAATAAACATTAAACTAAATTATTTACATTTTACAAATCATGTTTCCGCGGTTTCCGATTGTATGTTGTATATTGAATGGGAAAGGTTCATTCATAATTTACGCATATATATATATATATATATATATATATATATATATATATATATGCTTGAGGAACACTTTATAATTATGTTGAGCACACACATATACAAGTACCTTTGAAACAAAGCTGTAAAATGTTATGGTAACATCTTGGTCAACATCTCGGTGCGAAGTCTGTAGCAGCTTCAACGTGTCACCTGACTGAGTAATAATCATCAATTTTTATAGACATTGGAAGATCCTAAAGACTTGGCGTAAATATTTTTTTATATTGATCCGAGGTGGAAGTTGGTTGGAGTAAAGGAACAAATTAGACACTGTTTGGGAGAAATGATCAAATATTTATTTATATTTACAAGATAAGAAAATGTCTCTGGTAAGTCGTATAGTCTAGTGTTCGAATGTACGGTGTACGAGCTGTGAAGTAAGAGCGTGAGAAAGGAATATGCTTAACCCGGCTAACTGTTTGTTGGCTATCGGTTTGGGCTTGTCGCGTTGATGGTGGGGATCGTTCCCTTTCTGTGTTCACAGATGGTTGTATTCACAGCGTAATGGTCAGACGCCAGTCAGCCTTGCTCTCGGATAGCCTCCATGGTTATAGCGTATATAAGTGAAACGCACGGACGTAGTTGTAGAGATCTGTTTCAAGCGAGAGTTACGTCGATAATGGCCAGCACTCTGGTATATTTGTATTTGTTTTAAAATTTGTTTTGAGTAGAGCGCGGCGTGTGTGTGACCATGGCCAATTAGTATTATACGTCCCCATATGTCACATAACAATCTGAATTCTAACAGGACCATGTAATGTAAAAAAGAAAATGTGAATGGCCGCTTAGAAAATTGCTAATCTAAAAGTGAGGTAACTTTAAGAAGTGAATTATTAGAACGTAAATTA